TCCCGCATGTCCCGGCTGGCAGCACCCAGCGCGCTCCCTGCCACCGCGTGGGTCTCGGCATGTGTCAGCACCTTCCAGCCCCGCGACCGAGACTTTGAATTGGCTCCGAGCGTGGCCTTGATTTATTTTTTTAATTTAATACCAGTTGACTTGATGTATTTATTTTGGCAGCGGGTTACCCCTCAAACCCCAAACCCTGCTAAAACAGCATGTTCTGTCCCTGCCAGCCCACGCCGACACAAACAGGAGGGTTTGGGACCTGACCCCCAGGCGTGTGCCCCGCGCTCGTCCCCGGGCAGGTGCCTGGGTGGCACCGGCTCCTTCCCTCGAGCTACCGGAGCCGTTGGGAACCAGCCCCCCGGGTGAGCGGTGGCTGGGAGCTGGGAGTTTTTTACAGCCTGAAGGTTTGGTGCCAGTTTCTTACCCCGTCTCCCAGGGGAACGCGGAGCAGGTAGCGCTGTTCCTGCGCCCGCCCCGGTGGGCTCGGAGGTGGGGCGTCCCCTTGGCACAGGATGGGGCTCAGGGATGCCGAGATCGACACCTTCAGACCCCCAACCCAAAACTCCGCCTGCGCGAGGCTGGTACGGAGTCGGGGAGGAGGAGGAGATGGGCTGCCTCTCGTCCGGTGTCACCACTGCCTTGCTGCTCACCCGGCGTCACCACTGCCTCGTTGCTCGCCCTGGGCTGCCCCATGCCATAGGACCCCCTTGGAGATCCTCAAGTCGGGGGGATCCACTCGCTCTCCAGCCTCTCAGGCATGGTGGGGTGGGATCCCTCCTTGGCATCACCAATGAAACAGAGCTGCGACCCCTGGCCCCAGGAGGGGATTTGACCCTGAGGGTCCTCCTCCTCCTGCCAGAAGTCAAATATTGCCCCAAAACACCCATGGGGCCACTGTCCTTCCACCAGCACCCAGCACAGGGACCCTGGCTCCTCTGCTACGTGGTGGACATTTTGGGGTACTTATATTTAATTATGGGTATTTATTATGTCCACCACGCAGCAGAGGGGTGGGAGAGCACAGGGGGCTGGGAAGGGGGTTCGGGTCCCCTGAGCATTTGAACCCCCCAGATCCAGCCCTGGGAGCCTCCCTGCCACCACGGGCAGCCTCTGCGGTAGGGGGGGACGCAGCCCCCCCGGCCCCAGCATCTCCCTCCCACCCTCAGCGCCGGGGCGAGGAGCACCAGAGGGAGCGGAGCCGCCGGTAGCTCATCCCGGCAAGCCGGCACCCGTCCCCGGAGCCGGTGAGAGCTGAGTCACCCCGGCAGGGAAAGTGAGGAGTCGGGATAAAAGCAGATCAGCGGAGGTTTCCTTTGATACTCGCAGCGGCCACACTTCGCCCTCGGTGCCGGCCAAGCCAGGCTCCCTGGGGATGTCTCGGACAGCCCGGGCAGGGCTGGAGAACATCTGGATTTCTCCTTGTGCCTCTTTTTATTTGCTGCTTCGCCCCCGCTTTTGCCTGGGTGGGGTTGGGGGATTTTCCACGTTGGCCCCTGGAGTTTGGTGGCCGGGGCAGAGGTGGCAAGACAGCTTCTCCCCACGCCCAAATTTAGGGCTCACACAGGATTTTGAGCCCATGTCGTTCCCGAGGACAGTCCCGGGGATGCTGGCGCTTTGCCCAGCTCCGTGCTGGGATGGAGGGACATGGGGACCCCAGAGCCTGCGCCCAGCACCGAGGGGCTGGTCTGTGGGTCCGGCTGTGCTGGAAATGATTCTTACGGTGTCGTGAGCGAAGGTTTAGGGAGGTTGGGGTGGGAAGAGAGGGCAGAAGCCATCAGCTACGGAGGGTCGGAGGCAGGTCGGAGGAAGGGTTGTTGTATTGGGGAGTCCGGGGCAGGACACGGTCCCAGTGTGTCCTGGGGTTAGCCAGGAGCTCGGCTATTTATATTGGAGCTCCTGGCCCCTGCTCGGAGTGACTCAGACCCGGCACGATGGCCAGATGGAAACATGTTTTGAAGATGGTCTAATGGGAGGGTGGGGACGGGGGACCCTCCCTGCCAGCATCCCCGGCCGCCTGTCACCCCCACGCTCCCTCGGGGCTGCTCCTCCCGGGCAAACCCCGTGCAGGGTAGCAGCTGAGACCTCGGGACCGGTGCTCGGCTCGGCACAGGCCACCCGGCTCCTTTCCCCACTGCGTCACCCCAGTGTCCCCAAACCCATCACCGCGGCGCAGCCGGGGCTCACGGACCCCGTCCAGGGCTTGGCGTGAGACCTGGGATTGCGGGAGGTGCAACTCCTCCCCGCCAGCACCGTCCAGGGCTCCGGCTGGCTGTCCCCAAAGGTGATGACGGTGGTGGTGGTGGTGACCCCACCAGCCCCGGCAGGGGTTTTTGCCCCCGGTTTGCCCTGGCTGGCAGCCGGGGTGGAGGCTGCGGGGCTCCTCCGGGCCCCACGCACCCCGCCGGGGTCAGGGCTCCCTGGGGCGGTGGGAGGGAGCGGCCAGGCAGGTCGGCGCCTGCCGCCGGGAGCGGGGCCCCGCGGGGACGGGGTGCTGCCGACGCCAGGGGAAGGGGCCTCCCGTCTGCCAGGGCGGGTGCGGACGGGGTGGCTCCGGGGCTCCCAACTCCCCGGCACCCTGGGTGTCCTCCACCGGCACCCGT